AGAGAAAGGTTGAATGGAGGGGGATTTGAGAAAATCAATTATAAGTCGGTGTGTAGTCGAGCAAAGTGTGCGTCGCTCGCTCAACAGGGTCACAGGACCAAACCCTTATAAGATTGGCAAATCGGACTTGGGACCTCAAGGGTTGAGCAGCGTCCCGACGATATCCTTTTGCAAAAACAGATAGCCGAGGTCAGTTCTAACGATTGCAAAATCAGTACAAGTCTAAAGGAGGGAAAAACATACCTTCATCCCTCGGCACTTTGGGGCAGTACAATCCGACATACTCGGACCCCTGCCCTTTCTTTCAACTACTGTCGAGCATGATCAGATCGTCTATGTACCCCTTGTCCGAGTCGGGCATGTGGGTTACTAGATACATCGAGGTATCTTGAGCCTGGAGGTAATATCTTTTCCCATCAACTAACCTCAAGTCATAGAAAAATAAAATTTCATTTATTCCTAAGTCGGTCCCAAGCTGAACATTTAAGGTGACTACGCCCATCACGATCCTAAAGAAATTAACCCATATTAAGGGGAAAGAGCTTCAGTTGTATCAATATTTTCAACAACAGGGGGTGGAGAGGGAAGGTTAACACTCCCTCCATGATGCCCTTGGTCCAAAAAGGCATCATATATACACTTCCCATATCCCTCCTATGGCGGGTGGGGTTAAAAGGGAAGGCAAGGACAGGCTCATGGATATGGTATCTAACCCTGAAGGCTTGGATGTTCTCGTCAGTCACTTGGGTTCTCCTCAACTTGGGGTTAGCCCTTGCCCTAACAGATGTCTCCCTCCTGGTTCTACTGGTTCTAGCCATTGGTGGGTTCTAAAAGAAAGAAATGTAGAAGAAAGGAAGAAAAAAGCTCGAGATGAAGTACTTACAGGAAGGTGGTCTTCGAAAAGGGAGCTCAGAGGACGAAGGAAACTCGAGAATAGAGGGGTGCTCGGGGTCTGGTTGCTGGAGAGAGGTTGAGGATGCAAAAGTTCTAGGAAGACATGAGCACTTTCTATTTATACTGCTTCACAAGAGGCGGGAATCGAAAAGTTGAGCCATCATTAGGGGATTTGAAAAAGGTGGCACTAGACGTGCAAGTAACCGCCGCTATTAATGAGGAGTGTTAATTGAGTCTCCAATCTCTTTGCGCCACTTGTCCCATGCTACGAAAAAAATGGAAGCTGGGGCAGTTGGCGGGACTCTAGGTGGCTCTACAGCTCCCAGACTGACACGTGGAATAATGAAGCCGTTGTGATCTCCAAAAGGCGCCGAGGAGGTAAGCCGTGGTATGGTGTCCCAGAGGAGTCGAGTACAATAACTGGCACCTTATTCAATACGATGTGACCCCTCATTTATGGCGGAATGAGTGATGGTGGCAAGGCTATTAAATGTGTGTCTGCAAGCACCTGAGCTCTAAGCGTCTAGGCCTATTGTCATGATGGCTAGGCATTAATAGCTACTACGCCAAGTAGATAAGGTCGGCTCCCCCCAAGGAACTGTTCCTCCGAGTATTCAATGCTCAGTTGTGGGCCAGACGCCGATCTGAGGGATGTGGATACTCGGGGAAGGGTATAAATGCTCGGCATGGAGCCGAGTGCTTGTCCCATCATCCTAGCAGTGAGTAGGAGAAGACTTTGAGTGGAGAACACTCATTGCGCTAGGAGTGGTATGTCAGACATTAAATGTCCAGATGGGACTGGAGGTCTTGGACAATCTTTGCTAATTTAAGTATAAATACTCCTTAGAAAAATGAACAAAGGAACGCAAACTCGAACCAGAAAAAGATTATTCATTGAGCTAAAACCCCCGATCTTAGACTGACTTAAATTTCGGAGGGGATAAGCCTAGTGTTTACCTGGCCCCCTTTTTTCTGACCCTATGACTATTGTAGGTTCACCAGGCCGAAGGTTGCTATCTCAAACTATTGCAGGAATTATCCCGTGCACTCAATTAAAAAATTCAAGTTAAAATTTGGTTTCAATTCTCTTTGATATTTAGTTAAGCCTAAATTTGATTTTGAGTTATACAACTCAAAGTAGAATGCGGATTGAAAACAAATGCATTTATTTGCATTCGTCTTTGGTTGGATTGCGAGAATTCGAAACTCCAATATGTGATAGGTCCGACTAAATTACAGATGTAGACCAGGCCTAGACAACAGAAACTCAATCACAATTTCAATTGAGTCGAGCCCATTGTCCTGAAAGTCTCAGTCTATTATTAGCACACATGAGAATCTCCATTTTAAGAAAGAGAGTATGTGGAACAAAGTCATCGGGTGCACATCGTTAGCTTCACGGAATCACCTCGTCTATTATGAGAATGGCGTCGTCTCACGGAACCATCTCACTCCCCATTACTAGAATAACGCCTCAATCAGGGCTCCCTCAGAGCCATTATGAAACTTTACTTGCCTATAAATTGTAAACTCTGCCTATACATAGGGGGGCATGACTCAACTCTCAGTACTCTACATATTTTGAGTAATAAAATTCTCCGGCCACTGTTGTCATTCCCTGTGAAATATGTCACTCAGACCGAACCACCTAATATATGTGATTGATTGTGTTGAGCATACCCCTATCACATACTCCATTACATACTTGATTGATTTTGCATAAACACTTTTGTGCATTATCAATTTGGCGCCGTTGTAAGAACGATTTAGTTTTCACTCTACTATGTTCCCGTTTCTTATGGCTATTTCAACTAGATCCATGGATCAATAAAAGGAAGATGATGATCAACTACATCGTGATGAGGTCCCGCCCTCACCGGCAAAACCCCATTGCTGAACTATAATTACTAGAGGCTATGCAGTTGTTGGTAAACCAAAACCAACAACCCCTCCAATTGATACTTGTTGGGCACCCTTGAGGAGCCTTGCCCCAGCACCCTATCCGCCTCACCTAGAGAACCAAGGCGCCCTGCTACAGCACCAAGGTGCCCCGACTCCCCCTCCTCGTGCACCCAATGCATCCTCCCCATGCTGGTGACCCTCTATTCTAGGAAGACGAGGGGGAAAACCAACATATGGACCATGAAAGCTACTATAACAACCCTTCTTACGGCATCTCCAACCACTGGGACAAAAAAAATCAAGGAAGTACAAAATCAACTGGACGATGTCTTCAACACCATGAAGGCACGAGGTGCTGGAACGACCGAGTACCTTGTGAGGCATACTAACACGTCATTCGTAGCTGCATAACAAAGTTTAAGATGCCAACTGTGGAAATTTTTGACAGCTTAAAAGATCAATGCACCAACTTGACACCTATAAATCCCTCATGCAGCTGCATAACATACCAAATGGAATTATGTGAAAGGATTTCCTTACCACCCTCAAGGGATCTGTGCGTTAGTGGTTTGCCAGATCAACTTCCATTGATTTTTTTGCTAAACTAAGCAAATCCTTCGACTCCCACTTCATAGGGGCACATTGACACCATAAGCTTTCTACCCATTTGCTCAACATCAAGCAAGACCAAAGCAAAAGCCTAAGGAGTTATTTCACTCATTTTAACGAGGAGGTTCTTCAGATTGAAGAGTCAAATGATAAAGTCACCATGACTGCCTTCATAAAAGGACCACACTCATCAGTTTTCTGTTTTTAATTTTGAAGCGCCTGCCAAAGAGCATACCAGAATTACTATCAAAAGCTCAAAAATACATGAACTCTAAGGACATCACCAAAGCCAAGTGCGGTGAGTCCTCATGTGGATTACAAGCAGTTATCAAATAAAGCTTTGCAGATTCATCATAAAAATTACCTTGTTTTTCATTTCACAAAAAGTTCGAAAACACAAACCATTCCTTCAAAAGTTAGAGCACAGTCGAACACTACCTAAAAAAAAGAGAGAAAAAACATAAGGGCCTCTATCAAGCATCCTCAGCACTATGGCTACCTTTATTGTCATCGCTCTCCTTGCTACTGCCTGACCCATTCTCAATAGAATTCTTGTAATTATCATCACCACCTATGCTTGAGAAGTCTATGCTGGGAAAAGCTGGTGAAGCCTTTCCCCTGAACTCCCCATAGCCATCAATAAAAGCACTCACAATGTTATCCCATTGGTCATAGACAGCCTTCTCTATAACCTCTCTCCTCCTCTCCATCTCCTAGGAGTAAGTCTCTACTCCAACAGCCCTCTCATGAGTTATTTGCACCTTTACCTCAGTTCTGGTAGCCCTCTCATGTGCTACCCACAATTTTACCTCTACTCTTGTGTAAGCAACCTTAATATCAGTTTCCAACTTAACAGATCTCTCACGAATCACCAAAAGCTCGGTCTCAAAAGGTGCAACTCTCTTGTGAGCCACCCTTAACTTTTCCTCTATAGCCCACTGTGTCTACCTTCCCCTTATCAGAGTCCTTGATATCTAATCATACTGGTTGGCCCTCACAAAAAGGCATGTAGAGATCGTGGACACCTACAAACACACAAAAAGAGGAAAAGGTTAGTGCCATCAGAAGATATGAGGAATAAAATTCCACAGAAAAGAACTACATATGGTTACCCTAGCTAAGCCCTCCATCATGGTATCAATAATGCCCTAGGTACCCTGAGAGCTGACCTCTCTAATCTCCAAGGTCAGCACGAGCCTCGAGAGTCGATACGTCCTAAAACATGGACACTGAGCCATTGTTAGACACGGGAAAACCAAGCTGCAAGAAACTCTTCGTAAGAAAGCGAGGTGCCCTCACCATGCACCTATTACCACAGTAAAAGAAACGCCAATATTGCTCTCCAACCATTTGGAGCTAGTCGCCCTGGCACGAGTGACAAGGATGCCAAGATATGACAAACAAGTGTAGGCATCGAAAATTTCAAACCTGCCTCTAGCACATCTTCATAGATGGCAATTTCCCCATAAGAGTGATCAAACGTAGGCTTCACCCATCTTAGCCCAACGACACAACACAGTAGGGGAACATAAAAACTAGAGACGATCCTAGCAATCTCAACATAAAGTATTGATAGTACTAAAAATAGTGCTCACCTTGGAACTGTCATCGTCAACGACTATTTTACCACGATGCTTGCGTCTCTGTGGATGCTGGGTAACATTGTTTCTACCACCATCACCTCTAGAACCCGTCGCCTTATTGCCCACGCCCAACGCCTCGTTGCTTGCACCTAGCGCTACTCCTGCTGCCTACGTACCCATGCCGCCAATGCGTCGCCTCTTGGCGCATAGGTGCCTCTTAACGCTAGCACCTCGCCTTTTGAGCCACACGCTTATCTCTCACCGCAACTCGACATCTCACCTTTCTCATTTCATCCTCAAATGAGTATGTGGGGGTATTATTTAAAGCCCTAGGTATTTGCCACTAATAGAGAACAAAGACAAGCTTCTCAAGTGATAATTAAAACAATAACCACGACTGTTTATGGAGTGAATGAGTTTGCGGTAAAAAGAGGCATGGAGAACGATAATGAGTGAAAGTCACCACAGTCAATACCCAGAAGAAAGGGTAAAAAAGTAGATTCTTATTGATACCCTCTCCCCCAAATTCCATTGGACTCCGAGCATGGGGCCTGGGTCGAAGCTAAGCTTTGTCCAAGGTGGGCAAGTATCCCCCTCAAAAAAAAATTATTACCTATGTGTGTGTGTGAGTATATATATATATATATATATATATATATATATATATTTATATAATATATTACCTGTCCCCACCCAAAATCAAAGACACCACCCAAAAGAATTAAAAAATCAAGTCCACTTAAAAAAAATAAAAAAAATTGGGCCCACCACCACTTAAACCAAAGACATGAAGTGAGTACAAAATCCGATTGAATGAATCCTCAATTTTTATTTCTTAATATTATTTATATGTATTTTAAATATTTCTTCACTATTTTTAATTGTGCCCACCCTATTTTTTTGGCACATCAATTAGTGTACACTTATATCAAATGAATATTATTTTTTGACACATTTTGAACATGTTATGTACCTATCTAGATAAATTTTGAATATATTAGAATTATTTTATATTTTCTAAGACTATAAAAGACATGATATACATATTAGCTAGTTTACTTGTGATTTTGACATTTATTTTACTAATTATGATAAACATTATAGATTGCGCATTGAACTGCATAATCGAGTGAGTGATAAATACTAAAGTAATAACATGATTGTGTATATAAAGAATAATAAAGTTGTTATGCAATGGTTTCCAAGGATTAAAATTCATCGGAGTCAATTTTAGATAATTTTAATTAGCCCATATTTTGTAAAAAGATATAATTAGTCTTTTTTTATTGTTGTCATTTGTATATACTAGACTTACCAATTTTTGGTCTATTAGATTTAATGAACTTTTAAGTATTAAATATGATGTAATTAAATATAAATTATTATCTTATTTTTATTGATTGCAAGAAAAAAAAATTGTGTCCACCCTGACACGATATTCTAGCTCTGTCCTGCATGGGGGGCGAATGATGGGATCGACCAAATGAGGCTCAGATCACAAATGCAGACCAGGTCTAGGCATAGTCACAATTTCAATTGGATCAAGCCCACCATCCTAAAAGACTCAGTCTATTACTAGTGCACGTGGGTATCTGCATTTTAGGATAAGGAATTCATGGAACACAGTCATAAAGGTGCACATCGCTATTTTCACAAAATCACCTCGCCCATTATGAGAATGATGCCGCCTCACAAAACCACCCCGCTCCTGAATACAAGAATAAAGCCTCAATCAGGGCTCCCTCGGAGCCATTATGAAATTTTACTTGCCTATAAATTGTAAGTCCCGCCCACACATGAGCGACATGGCTCAACTCTCAACACTTTACGCACCTTGAGTAATAAAACTCTCCGGTCACCATAGACATTCCCTGTGGAGTAGGTCACTCAGATCGAACCACCTAATTTGTGTGTTTAGTTGTGTTGAGCATACTCTATTACATGCTTGATTGATTTTGCATAAACACTTTTGTGCATCATCAATTAGGATTGCATATATTTAAAACGGGTTGAAATAATTTTGATCAAACCTAACACAAATATTAAAAATTTAAATCTAAGATGGAATATTTTAGGTAGAATTTGAATTTTTTTGAAAACAAATGCATTTATTTGCGTTCGAATTTGGTTGGATTGTGAGACTTCGGAACTCCAATATGAGTAATGCCCATATTCAAAACGGTTGAAATAATTTTGATCAAACCCGACACAAATATTAAAAATTTAAATCTAATATGGAATATTTTATGTTGAATTTGATTTTTTTTAAAACAAATGCATTTATTTTCGTTCATCTTTGGTTGGATTGCAAGAATTTGAAACTCCAATATGAGTATTGCTCATATTTGAAACGGGTTGAAATAATTTTGGTGAAACCCAACACAAATATTAAAATTTTAAATCTGAATTAAAAAATTTTAGGTTGAATTCGAATTAAATTAAAATTGATCCACCAAAATAACACTCCTAGTAATTCCTTTTTATGAGGTTGGGATTGAGATTGGGACTATTGAATGAACTACTTTGCTAGTTCTTTTGTTGGTATTGGCTCCACAAACCCTTTGCCAGAATTTTCTCAACACTCCACTATTTCTCTATGTCAAAAACCCAATAACCCTCCATGCTTTTCCTGTAGTAACACCTCTACTCTTTACAAAAATCTCCACAACTAGCCCAACCACCTCCACCAATTACACGAAAACACCAACTTCAATATACACCTGGCAAATAAAATATGTCTTGGCCCTAGAAACCATCAGGGAAGTTCATTCTACCTCGAGGCAAAATGAAGAATCTAACTTGGATAAAGAACTTGAGGATGTGTCAAGAACCCTCAAAATAAATTTGTCCGAAGAAGATAAAGTTATTATCTTCAAAACCTATAGGAGAACATTTAGCTATCAATACCTAATTGCGCAATTGGTTGCTTTATGGAATACAAAGGACATAATGGAATGCATCATTCTAGGTGAAGGGTTCTGATGATGCCAGAAAATGCTCATTGAGCTTCGAGCAAGTGGTTGACTGGAATTGTGCTCTGACTTACCAAGAGAGGCACTTGTAAAGGCAAGTCTGAGACATGAGGGGCTCCCCCGGGACCCTCCGATGCTTAAATTAGAAAGTAATTTTAGAAAGAAAGCGTTCAACTGGGATTAGATCTGTGTATCTAGATTGTCTTCAGTTCTTCCCTTTTATAGGCCATGATGATTCAACCGTTGAGGTGGGTCCTTATCTTCTGGGGGTCCTTATCATCTATTTGAAGTAGGGTGGTACCAGTGGTATAGTGGAGATGAACTATTTGGGGGAATAGGAGTCACAGCTGAGTTGAATTAGTAATGATTGTAAGGGGTTAGGACCCTCCCAAGCTGGAGAACTGTTTGAGCTGGTGAACTAGCAACTCGGCGAGCTGGAGCCTCCAAGCTCTTGCCAAAATACCCATCATCATGTTTTATATTTCTCGTTTCTAGTCGAACGAAGGTGCTATAAGGATACTTGGTGAAGGTCCATAGTTTCTGGGCCATTATTTCATAGTTTTCAGGAGCCTTAATTCCCATCGTCAGTAATAGCAATCGACACTGTAGTACTTTGGGTTAGATTGTATGGTCTAGCAACAGGGGCGGAGCCAAAAATTTTATTCAGGGTGATCACTTTAATTATGTACTCTAATTTTTTTTCCTTCTTACTAATCACACTATATAACATATTGATATTTATTCTATTATATTTGATATATGAAATCCATTTGACATAAAAATTTCCAAAAAAAAATGTAAATTGTCAGGGGCGGAGTCATGAATATCTATGATAGAGACAAAATATAATTGTTATAAAAAAAATTAAGCCGAAATTAATACAAAAAAAATCAGTTCAAGAATAAAAAAAAAGTAAGAATCAACACTAAATTATTGTGAAATAGTAAATTCAATTTTTATTTAGTCGAAACAAAATCTTAACAAAAAGATACAAAATAATTTTTTTAGTACATTTTAACTTAATTATATATTTCAATAAAATAAAAAAATTTTGTATATGAATTAAATGTAAATTAATTTTCGTATTTTATTAGGTTATAGACTACTGTTACTAAAAAAAATGTTAAATGAAAACTAAAAATCATTCTTAAAAAGTAACGAACATTGTATTAGATAAAGAAAAATATTGTATTTTCGTCAATATACAAATAAAACATTGACTCAATCCAAAACTAACATATTTATTTTTAGGGGTTAGTGGTCCACTAATTTATTAAAAAAAAAAAGACTAGAACCATTATTAAAATTTCCAAAATTTAGGGGGTAAATATAATGTATAAAATAATTTTATAAGTTGTTGCAAGGAAGGACAAAAAAACTCAAGAAACTGAGTTTCTCGTGTGTTGACCTTTTCTCTTTTTCTTCTCTCTTTCTTGTGGCTGGGTAGTGGGCAACTGGAAGTAGGTGATACAGAGAGAAAAAAAAATGAAAGATAAGATAGATTTTAGTCAAGTGGGCCAAAAGTTTTGTTTTTTAATGATGGTGGGCCAAAAGTTTTGTTTTTAATGTTGGGCCAAAAATTTTGTTTTTAATATTAGACTAAAAGTTTTATTTTTTAATAGGTTTGAGTGGATTGTGATAGGTCAAATATTTGATTTTTTAATAAGTTTGAATAGATAATAGTGAGTTCAATTTTTTTTGTTTTAAATGGACTTAATTGTTTAATTATTTTGAGGAAATAATGTGGGTCTAATTTAAATGAGGGAGACACACATAATATATATGTATAAATATATAATACATATATCTAACTAATAAAAAAAAAAATTGAGGGGAGGGCACGTGCCCACCCTGGCCCCTACCTCCCTCCGCCCATGTCTACCAATTAAGTATTATGCGTGCAAGATCCTGCACAATATAAAAAATATTGGGAACAGATCTCTCCCCTGGTGAACTTTGAGTGAGCCAGTTGAGTGGCCAAACACGCTACTTGAAACAGCCTGCAAGGTACGGTGGCAACCTGGAACGGCAAAGGAAGATCCTGGGAAAGGAAGAACGATCCTGTACGTGTGAAAGGTATTCCTGGAATAAAGAGGAACAAGTTAGAAGGGTGCCGGAGTGTGTTCCGGCGTATCCCCTCCGACGGTCTAGTCAGTCTTTGAATGAGAGAGAGGAAGAAGAAAACACTGAGAAAAT